AGACGTTGGGAAAGAGCACTACAACTAGCCCCAAAGCTTCGAACTTTGTAATTTTTCTCCCGATCAGTCTGGGTTTTCAACAGCAGGCCAGAGAAGATCACCCTGAGGTATCCAGGCAGTCACAATTGCTGTTAACTGTTGTCAAGAAAGAGTTAACTTAAGAAGCTCACCAGTCTTATATATCTTTTCATATTTTTAATAACTTTTATATTTAAAAAAAAAGTTTTTGGTACTGTATAAATACAACAATTGTTTTTTGTTACGTTTTCTTCTTTTACGAAATTCGGGGAGGTGGCAGGAGCGCTAATGTATGCAGCAACGCTGGAAATAATTTTTTTTTAATGGAAAAGCTAACATACACGATTTCACGAATACTTGATCCCTTCTTTCTAGTGTTAATAAAACAAACCAGTTAGGAGTGTCCTGGGTGACTCTCGGAAGCATGTAAGAACATACTAGAAGCACGACAGATATTTTGTACAAATTTATTAGATTGTATTTTAATCTTAAAGAAAAGAACTGTAAAAATATTAGTCAGACCGGCTTGAAAAAGAATTGTTAATAATTATATCCATTGTAATTGGATTATTGAGACAAAAATGGTAGTTTTCCTACGAGTTTGAAAAGTCTTTGTTTGCGAACCGAGAGGTTTGCGGCCCGAGCCGAAGGCGAGGGACGTAACGAGGTACGTAAAGGAGACTTTTCGAACGAGTTCCGGAAAACTGCTTTTTCGCCCGAGGAAGTACCAGCCTCCCAAAACCACCCGAGGGCGGAAAAATCTTTTACTGTTGTATTGTAATATATTTGTAATCGCTGCTGTAGCTGTTATTTCACACGAAGATTTATCGATGATTTATCACCATTGTTGTCATCCATGCTCAACACAATATTAATTATGTAGCAAATGTAAGAAGCATGTACAGAAATTAAAAGGTTGTACCTATTTGCCTTGGTAGTATCAGCGCTAGCGCCACCGTTGGCCAGAAGGGTAAACATAGGTGCCAGGATAAAAGTACAGAGCAAATAGTTAAGTTGTGTTTAAGCTTTACTTGACGATACCACACATAAGTATATGCTTCATTTTGTACACTTACTCGTCTTCTTTACATGGTTGGAATTTGTTCTGATTAATTCTATTACATTATTTAATTTCATAAAAGGACAATATTTTACTACGTCTACCTCATACTCAATTACGTTTCATCCCGGCACCTATGTTTATCCTTCCAGCCGATGGTGCCGCTAGCGCTGATGCTACTAAAGTGAATATGAAGCACTATGAGCAGTTATACTCGAACCTATATGTCGAGTGTCGACATTGTCGACTGCGGTACTGCACTGCACGCGAGCAAGTATGCACACAGATACACATACTTTTGCTCTCTCTCTCTCTCCCCCCTATCTCAAGTTATGACGTCTTTTGTGACATCGCAAAATACGTCATTTATGACGTTGTAAATGACATCACATTGACGTCAATGTGACGTCATTTACAACGTCTCAAAAGACGTCATTTACATAGGTTGTTGTTTAACAAAGGGCTGTTTGGAAGCATTTGATGGTCATATAAGTACTACCATCAAGATGGTAACACTTGAACCGGGGGATTCAAGTATTTTTTAAGATAAAAAAAAAATTTCTCAAGCAGGGAAAAAACTTTCTAAATTCAAAAACTTTTCGAATCCCTCTGTTTTGGTGTAACCATCCTGATGGTAGCACCTACAAGGCCATCTAATGCTTCGAAACAGTTTTTTTTTAAACAGCAACCTATGTTAATGTAATGCATGTGTATATTATGTAAATGTATGTAAATCTCTCTCCCTCCTTTCTCTCTCTTTCTCTATTGTCCTGCAGTTAGCAGCTTCTGCTCTGCACTAATATACGTATGTACGCCGTGCTCTTCACTTTTCCCAGTTCCCGCTTAATTGGCCAGCAGCCGTGCACAACATGTGTGCGTGTGTGTGCATGTGCATCTATAAGATCTGCTTGTAGCGAATAATAATCTTTTATACAAACAAAAATTATGGGGCTTATACAGATCTAAAAAATGCAATTTCAAGTAATTTATGTTGAATTGCCAATTTTTTCAACTGAACATGTGAAAGAGGGTACAGTCAAATGATCTGCAATTTTCTGGGATATTTTTTATAGTTTTTTTTAGTATTGTTTTGATGATTGAATAATATCTGTCAAAAAAACTTTATGTGCAAAGGGACATTCACTGGCATGTCCTACTATGCTATTCAAAATGTTATAAATATGTGATGAATATGACCGTGACGTTACAGATGTAATTAGCGTAGTCAGAATAGGAAATTATTTTAAAACCATCAGAAGATTCGATGAAAGAGCACAGTCTTATATTGGCCAGCTGCCATATCTTATTAATATATAAAGCAAAGTCGCTAAAACCGTTGTAATCGCTAACCGCGAAAACTATGGAACCGATTTTGATCAAATTTTGCACACTGATTCATGATACTTCCTAGATGGTTTTAGTACAGTTTTTATCTTAAAAAATTTAATAACAATAGCAATAAATGAGCTCAAAGTTTTGCAAAAATACGCCAGCTTTTCACTTTAGT